TGCAGGAACGGGGCGGAGCGGGGAAGGCGTAGCCTGACCGCGAGGGGCGCGCTGCCCACTGCCCCTGCATCGGTGGTGGCTGGAGGATTTACTCACAGCCCACACGTTTCCGGTCAGATGAGTCTGGATAACTCAGAGTCCTTTCTTTAAAGAAGAGTTCTGCGAAGTGCGCTTTCACTTCGCTCCTAAGTGTGTTTCCTCTTGTTGGAGGGGTCACTGCGGCCCAGCGCCGTCCAGGCCCTGCCCTCCGGAAAGGCCGGCGGCGGGTCACTGAGGACGCGCGGGTAACGCAGTGGCCGCTTTTCGTCCGATCTCTCCTTTCATGGTCGGATCACCTTCCCTGGCTCAGACCCTCCTGGGTTCCTCCTACAGGGACCATTGTGATGCATCACTGAGGCCACCTGGGTGATCTCAGGACCATTCATTCAATCCCTTCTGCCAAATATTCTTCCCAAGTAAATGTACAGATTCACCCTATGCGGGGATTAGACCTTGGACTTCCCTGGCGGAGTCAGAGGAGGCATTGTTGTCCCACCACGGTTAATGGAGGGGATGGTCTGAGAGGGCTTGGAGGGGAGCGGGGCCAGGTTGTGCTGTGTCAGGAGGAGCCTGTTTTTCAGCCACGTGCTGTGCGTTGTCAGTAGGGGAAGGATATGACCTAATGTGAAAAGGTCATCCTGGCTGTTGGATGGAGACTGGACTGTTTGGATCAAGAGCTGAAGGCGTCAGGGGTATTTAATTTTCTTATTAGGACGGTAACTCCATAGCATCATACTCTTGGCTGCACAGCGTTACCATCTAGAGCAGCGGTTCTCGACCTGTGGGGTCGCGACCCCTAAGACCATTGGAAAACACATATATAATAACATATTGTTTTTGTGATTAATCACTATGCTTTCATTATGTTCAATTTGTAACAATGAAATTGGGGGTCACCACAACGTGAGGAACTGTATTAAAGGGTCCCGGCAGTAGGAAGGTTGAGAACCGCTGCTCTAGAGCGCTTTCAAAAACCCAGGTGCCCAAACCACACCCCGGCCCCTGACCCGGGAACCTCAGGGTGGACGCAGGTGGTTCCAGCCTGTAACCAAGGCTGAGGACAACTGGTCTCTGACCTGAGTCCTTTTTACCTTTCTAGCCTTGGTTCCCCCTCCACGTCTTCCCCCTTCTCTTACTCTGTGGGCTCTGGCCCTTCCCTGTACATACTTTGTGTATTCTCACTCTGTACCTTTGAACATATTCCTAGGTAAGGGACTGGAATGAGCGGGAACCTACTTGTTCTGTCGCGGCCCCGCTGGTAAACTCTCCTCCCGGAGCTTCTCCTGATCCTCTACCCTGTGCTCCCACTTGCGCTTGTCTTTTTCCTGGCACTGATCAGTCCGCCACGCTCTATGGGTGATCGCCTCCTCTGTGGTCCGTTCTATTGCCTGGCCGCCTGCTCTCCTAGACACTAGGACACACTACCGCGCAGGGTCAGACCTTGCCCTCCAGTAGCTTACCGCTTGGGGGGAAGGAGGAGTACATAAGAATAATTCTTATTTTTGCATAAGAATATCTCGAGATAATTGTTCAAATGGAGATTTGTTCAGGTGCTGTGGGGACAGGGGAAATGGTATGCCTGGGGATTCCAGGGAGAGTTCCTCTGTTAAATCAGTATTTGAGCTGAAATTTGAAAGATGATTTGATTTTGCCTAATGGTGAGCTACGTAGGGGAGGGGAAAGGGAAGAGCTTTCTGGGTAAACGTGAAAGGCAGAAGGAGGGGAGAGACCCTGGTGTTTTCAGAACATGTAGTAACTGTTGCTGTCGTGTCCAGTGGGAGGGAGTGTCAGAAGGTGAGGAGGGGATCAGATCATGAGATCTAAGCTGCGTGGGAGGGAGTTAAGTTTTATTCCGTATGTGTAGGGGCACCATAAACAATTTGGGCCGGGAGTGACCGTATGATTTTCATGTTGGGAGGATTACGCAGTAGATAAATGAGAGGCTGGAGTAGAGCTGAGCCTGCCACTAGAACTAGAAGCAGGGAGGCGGATGAGTGGCTGGCACTAGGAAAGGTATAAAGAGCAGGTTTATTGTGGTTGAGGCTGAAGGTGAACTGCAGTGAGTTGAAATGTGAACCACTCTTAGAAGTCTAAAGTTGTGAAAGGAAGGAACCCTTTGGAAAGTGGGAGCTAGAAGGAGAGATTCAGCTCAGGGCTTTTAAAAAAATATTTTCTCTCTATAAAGGCCACCTGAAGAAGTTTCTATGCTGATTGGAAAGAGCTAATAGAAAGCTTTGAAGATACAAGAAAGTAAATAAAGGGAAAATTAATGGAACAAGCCCCCGAGGAGGCAGGAAGAGAAGCGATTCAGAGCACAAATGGTTTTGCTTTGGGTAAAAAGAGAGTTATGAGAAGGGGTCAGGGAAATAATGCAAGTCAGATGGTTCTGTGAAGGAGCCAGAAATATTGAGTTTCTCCCAATGCAGGACCATCGGCTGCACCCTGGTGGTTTTCACAGGCTTACCAGCTTGGGTACGGATGGAGACAGCAGATACTTGGATTACCACGTGGGGTTTTGCCAGTAGATCGGACGGGGGTGAAGGGGCTGCACATGCCCTTTTCCTAAGTTCTGACTCCAGGTGGCTTTGACCAGGCCTTAACCTTGTTTTCCATTTTGACTAGCATGCTTGCCTTGTATGTAGTCAGCATGTACATACTGAATTCGTTTTGCTTCATGGGTATTTTAATTTTCTTATTAGGACAGTAATGATGACAGTGAAGATGTTGCACTGTTTGATGCAGAAGAGGAAACAACTAATCGACCCCAAAAATCCAAAATCAGGTATGAGGATAACTTTTACAAGTTGTGTTAGTGTCCAGTACTTTCTGCCTGTGACAGCTGAAGGTGTTCAAGCAGAGTGGTTGTGATGTCCTTGTGAATATTGTATCTCACTAGTGTGATCTTTAGTCTTAGACAAAAATGGGGACATTTCAGATTCTCATTGTGCATAACTGACATGGAATTTTACTCAACACTGTTTTCAAATCTGCAAATCCAATTACATGAACACTACAATGTTTTCCTTTAAATACTGGTAGTTTCTGTAGATCCATTATGACATTTTGATTTATTGTGCAAATTTCAGAATTGCATCTTTTATATAAACTAACATGAAAATATCATGCCAAACATTTCTATTCCAAATTTAGTTCTCTCTAAAGAAATTCACTTAATGGAATCAGATTCTACCTGAACTTTGAAAACAAAGTGAGAGATGCCAGTCACAAAAGACCACCTATTGTACAATTATATTTATATGAAATGTCCAGAATAGGCAAATCTATACAAAGTTACATTAATGGTTACCTAGAGCTGGAGAAGGGATGGGGTTGGTATAAATGGGTATGAGTGCCCATGGGTAAAGGTTTCCTTTGGGGTAATTACGGTGATGGTTGTACAATCTATTAATATATTTTAAAAAACTCATCAAATTATGTACTTTCAATAGGTGAATTGTAAGGTATATGGACTATATCTCAATAAAGCTGTTAAAGTCTTCCTGATGGTTACTTTGTCTAAATGCCTGAAGTATTCAATGAGCTGTTAAAGTCCTGTTTACATAATGTATTTGCTGTTTTACAACAGGGTTTAGTCAAAAAATGGTACTTAAGAAAAAAGAGAGGTTGGTGATTTGCTTCTTCCTCAAATCATCTTTTATTTTGACCAAACTGCATGGTTATGCTATGGCTGAAGCATTTTTCATCTACATCTGCAGTAACTGTCTAAAATGTAATCACATTTCTTTTGTTATGTTTTGGTTTTCAGACATCCAGTGGCATCATTTTTCCATTTATTCTTTCGCGTCAGTGCAATTGTAGTCTATCTTCTCTGTGAATTGTTCAGCAGCAGCTTTATTGCCTGTATGGTGACGATTATCTTGTTATTGTCATGTGACTTTTGGGCAGTCAAGGTAGGTTTGATTGTTTTTATTTTGAAACCATTTAATACGATGAGATTGAATGGTGTATGAACAGTACAAAAAATGAAACATAGTGTTTTTATTTATCTTTTTGTTACCTTTGGCCTCATCTGTGTTAAAGTGCCAGGTGTATCAAATCATGTGTAGATTATTACACTATTTGTCAGCCTACATCAGCTTTAAAATCTAATGTGAGTACATACTGCTTCTAATCCATTTCACCTGTTTTGCTTTGGGGTCACTTCTGGCTGTCTAGATAAGACCTCAGGATAGTTTGTTCACAAATACTTAAGGAGTACCCACCATCTGTGAAGGCTCTAGCGCAGTAGTTCTCGACCAGGACCTGTTTTACCCTCAGGGCACATATGTCTCAATGTCTGATGACATTTTTGGTTATCACAACAGGTGAGGGAAGAGTGCTCTTTGCATCTAGTGGGTAGGGGCCAGCGATGCTGCTAAACATTTTAAATGCACTGATTGGGTAGTTCCCCCCAAAAAAGCATTATCTAGCCCAAATTGTCAATAATGCTGAAGTTGTAGGGTATAGAAAGGAATGTAAGAAATGGTTTCAAACTCAAAGGCAGTGATGAGTAGAGATATGGATGGATAGATAACATAGGTACACATGTGATAAAGTAACTTTTAAAGTATAAACTGTAGACTCTAGGTGGTAGGTATATAGGTGTTAACTGTAAAACTACTCTCGGTGTGCTTGAAATTTTCATGGTAAAATGGTTTGGGAAGGAGGGGGAAAAAAGCAAAAGCTAATTTTGGAATTTCAGAGACATATTGATTCAAAGACCAGTAAGATGTGACAAGTCTGTTCACCACTAACACAGCAGTTTTTAGACCTTTCAATTCTTACAAATACCAGAAGTGTTTGGTTTGGTGATGGCCAGTTTCCATAGGCCACAAAATGCCGAGAATGAAGAGTACAGAAGTCTGTTTTATTTAAGCTTTTCTTTTGTACAGTCTTTGGCTTGCTTTTCTTTGAATTTCTTCTGTTGCATTATGCTCTAAAGTGTTTGCTGTATCTTGCTCACAATTTTGTTCCCTTTTGTTGTTCATGTAATTTCTGTTTAGCTGGATAGAACATGGCCTTCAGTCACTTCTTCCTGGTAATTTCCAGTTTCTTAAAATTAAATCCTTCTGGGCTTAGAGGTTTAAAAAATATGCCCCCAAAGTATATTTTTTGATAACTTGGGGTTTTGTTTGTTTGTTTGTTTTTAATGAGGGGTTTAAAAATGTTACCCTTTATCTGTCAAAATTACTTAAAGATATCCAAACAATTGCTATAAGAAGCGTAATTAAAAAGTCAAGATAGGGAAATTATTGAATGAACTTGGGAAAGGGGAAGGCAGGGTTCAAAACCTAGTTAAAACAGATGTATCCTACTAGTAATTATTATAAATCTCAGTACAGTTGTCAAAAGAAGAGATATAATCATTAAAAAAAATTATTTAAAATTTAAAAAAAAAATGTTATAGTCTATATGGTGCTTTTGCTTTATTCCATACTCTGATGGACTAAAAAAGTTTAATGGTTTTAAAATTCTAGTGTTAACTATTAGTAAAATTTAAAGTAAGTGTGTATCTTTCATAGCATTGCAGAAGATAGGAGCAACTTAAACATAGTTTATAAAGCAAGGGAAAGAAAGTGCATGCCAAGGAAGCTTAAATGTCATAAGGCATAGTGCAAGGTGATGCAAGTAGTAGCAAATTAGTACTAACAGTAAATGTAATTTGATTAAACTCTCTTTTTAAAGATGAGAATTTTAAGATTGTGCCAAAAATCAAAAGTCCAACCAAAAAGTTCTAACTGAAATCATGACATTAGAAAAAAGTATAAAATGCAAAGATAACATCAGACCAATTCAAAAAAGAAACTTGGTATTATTATTATTAGATAAAATAGAAATGGGAGTAAGACAGCATTCAATGGAAGAAAACTCATTTTATGAATCACAGTAAGGCTCATTCACAGAATAACAGTACATCAAACTATGTCTAGTGAAAAACTTAGGAACTCTAGGAGAAAATGGAAAGAACATTATTGTGATAATAGTTGTCTTTGACCAATTAAAGCAACAAAAGCTGAATATAAATAAGGTCGAAAGGTTCTGAATGAAATAACAAGGTCAGTTTAATAGTGGTATTTGTAACTTTTTACATGCAAGGATAATTTAATAACGAGTTTAGTTCCTATGCAATATTTATAAAATTAATCAAATATCACTACGAAGGAAATCCAAATAAATTGCTCAGAGCGGCTACGTTTTCTATCCCAGTGCAACAAAACTAGAAATTAATAAAAAGTTGTTGAAACTGGAACTTTTAAAAGAGCCAATCTAAAAAATATCTTGGCTTAGAAAGAAAACAGAACTGTCTGCTTTTCTACCTAGAATGTTCTTCTCATCTGCGTATTACCTTAACATAGGGATTCCTAATTGTTTTTGTTCCATGGGTTCCTTTTGCAGTCCCATGAAGCTATGAATAGTGCTTTTAAATACTATTCTGTGGTTTTTATTGTGACAAACCACCAGTACTGTGGATAATTGTCTATATTCATTATTTGAAGATAAACTAAATTTAGCCAGAAGATAGTGAAAATAAAAGATATAATTTTCCCCATCTAAATTCACAGAACCTCTGACTCTATTAGTGGAGGCCATTAATTAAAAATCTTCTGTATTATTGATTTATACTTATTCTTTAAATTTCATTCCAAATGTTGATTCCTCAGAGAGTCATTTTCTGATTCCTGACGAGATAATATTTCCCTGTTAGAATCTTAAGGCACCCCACACATCTCCCTCACAGTACTTAACACATTTGGTAATGGAACTTAAGCCCATTGGTTGGCTGCCTCTCTTCCCCACAAACACGTGAGGCTCCAGGAGGACAGAAAATGCATCTGTTATCCCCCTTTTATGACATGCTTAATAAATATTTGTTGAATAATAAGCATTAGGAAAGCTATCAAAATAATTAGTTATGTTCATAAGAGGAAAAGAACTTGGTATATTTGAAGTACTGAGAGAAGTCCAGTACTTGCAACCATTGTCTTAGTTTGAGCAGATATAAAAGAATGCCATATAAACTATAGGGATTTATTTCCCAAGGTTTGGAGGCTGGAAATCTAAAATCAGGGTGCAGTAGCATTGACTTCGACTGAGGACCTTTGGGGTTCCAGATTGCTGACCTCTCCTTGTAACCTCACATGGTAGAGGGTAGAGAAGAGGTCAGAAGATCTCTTTTGATTCTTGTAAGAGCACTAATCCCATCTATGAGGGCTGTACCCTAATGACTTAATCCAATCCTAATCATCTTCTAAAATCCATGGTGTGGGTAGAGTGTCAGCATATAAATTTTGGGGGGACATAAACATTCAGTCCATAATAACCAATTTAAGAGATATATAGTTATAAAATATATGTAGCTGCAGTCAGAATATATAGGGAAAATAGGTCACAGTAGCTAAAGAGCAAGGCGTTTCGGAACAAATTACTGAACCGGAGAAAGGACAAGAATTCATGAGGGAAAAAGAGGTGTTTATGTATGCTTACCCTGTCACCTCCACCCTTGCTGGTCCTGCCATTGCCATTTTGTTTAATCTTTCATCCAGGCCTGGTATGTAATGGTCTTTAACTGAATATTATGGAGATAAAGTTGATGCTATTTTGTTTGTGAAATAATATGGTAGATCTTTAAATAATGCGTTTAAAACATGTTGCGTATATTAATCTTTACCAGAATGTCACAGGTAGACTAATGGTTGGCCTGCGTTGGTGGAATCATATTGATGAAGATGGAAAAAGCCATTGGGTGTTTGAGTCCAGGAAGGTAAACTCCTCCCTCCCCCAGTTTTTAGTATCATTCAATGAGTTATGTGTAGTTTACATTTGAGTGTTTATGGATGAAGTGTTCAAGATTAAAAGTACTATCCAAATCATTTGTCATGTCAATGCTAAACCAGATGGCCTTCTAAAACTAATTATATTTGTCTTACTAGTTCAGACCAGCAACTGTACAGGAAGGAATCGTCAGGGTGTGGACTTTGGGTTAGAGTTTATATAGTGTGCTAAGCTGCCTGTTAGGAGCTGATGACAAAGGGTCTCTTTCCTTAAGTTGCCTGGCCTGGAATTACTGCTTCTAATAGCTTGTTCTGTCCTTGCTCCAATGGTTCTTTCCCATTTGTGGGCAGGAGAAAGAAGGATTGCAACTGGATAGAAAATCTCAATTGATCAGCACAGTGCCATCTTTAGGTTGGACCTTCCGGAGCCCTAGGGGACCCTGGTCTGTTTTGGGTTGGCCTGCTTGTCTATAATGAACGTTGTTTGGGAGGCAGAGGACAACATTTTTGGAGACAATACCAATGAAATTGCTTGCCTTCTGCTTGGAAGGGCCTTCACAAGTGTTTCTCGGAAAGCAGCATATGCTTAGCCCATATTCCTTTACATTATAAAATCTACCTTATAAACAACTCACCGCTCTTATAAATTCCTGGGTTCTGCTGAGATATTGGGGTCATTATCCAGAATCCCTCAATTCCATTTTTTTCCTCTGACCCTGACTCGATTTTTTAGAATGACTATTATCTTGATATCCTTGATCCTCACCTAAGAAGGTATCATTTAAAGCTTCCTTATATGCATAAACATTATAAATGCAAGAAGAATTGAAGTCTATCAGAGATCACTCTTAAACTCTCTACTCTGTCCTGAAAATTCTTGATTTAAAACAAGTACAGTGGGGCCTTGACTTACGAGTGTCCCAACTAATGAGTTTTTCGAGAAACAAGCCGTCTCTCGGCTGATTTTTTGCTTTGAGTTGCAAGCTAAAATTCGGGTTACGAGCCAGCTTCAGATACCCCACCGCTAGTTGGTGCAGCGAATGTCACGGTGAACGCCACAACATCAGCCCAGCATCACATGTCTCACTCGTTCACTTTATGATTTGACATACGAGTAATTTGAGTTACGAGCTCCGTCACAGAACAAATTAAACTTGTAAGTCAAGGCCCCACTGTATATTTAAACCAGTTCCTAAAGTTACAATAATGGTAGACCTAGTAGCTGTTTTTTTTGTTCGTTTGTTTGGGGTTTTTTTTTGTTGGGGGAGGAGGGTGATGGTTCTAACTTAGGACTTTGGTTGTCTGTATTTATTTGAATTTGAGAATAAAGTGTTTTTCATAAAAAATGTTAAACAGTCTTACTGATGGTTATTAAATTCATGTTCTTGTGTAGGCATCTCCTCAAGAGAGTAAAACTGTTTCCGAGGCTGAATCAAGAATCTTTTGGTTAGGACTTATTGCCTGTCCAGTGCTTTGGGTGATATTTGCCTTCAGTGCTCTCTTCTCCTTCAGACTGAAGTGGTTGGTGAGTATCAGTGTATAGCTATTGAATAATCCATTAAAATGTCTGATGGATAATCATAGTAAGCATCCATCTACGTTAACATTAGGGTCCCATCTTGAGTGGGCAGCTTGATCCTAAATTTCCCATTTGATTTCCCAACTCTCCTTTGTAAGCATTGATGAGCAGAGTCATAGTAAAGACCCAATTTCACCAGTTCTCCGGATGTCTGGCAGAATTTTAATTTAACCCACCTGGTACAGAGATTACTGTATTTATCACACTGTTAACTTGTGGGATGAGGATATTCAGTAAACTCCAGACAAACATGTTTATCTTAGTTTGGAACTAACAGAGTAGTCTTTTTTAAAATATTGGTTGCTAACCTGTTCTGGCTTTTGCTTATACAGTAAATCTTCCCAAAATTTAGTGGCTTAAAACATCAACAGTCATTTCATGGTCCCTCTGTTTCTCTGGTTTATGAGCTTGGGAAGGGCTTGTCTGGAAGTTCTGGCTTCTGTAGTTGCAGTCAGTCAGTTGCTGGAGTGGCATCTCCTCTTCATGAGGCCCACAGCCTCCCACATGGTCTGAACAAGTGGCTTGGGCTTCCTCATAGCCTGGTGTCCCCATGGCAATTAGATTGCTTACTTGGAGGGTCAAGCTCCAGTTAAGAGTGTTTGAGCTCACAATCTGAATTACCTTTTACAACTGTATGAGTTTGCTCAGGCTACTGTAACAAAAGACCACAGACTGGGTGGCTTAAATGACAAACATTTATTTCCTTACAACTCTAGAGCCTGGAAGCCTCAGGTCAGTGTGTTGGTTGGGTTGGTTTCTTTTGAGGCCTCATTACTTGGCTTGTAGATGTTCACCTTCTCCCTATGTCTTCATATGGACTTCTCTGTACATGTCTGTGTCCTGTTTTTCTCTACTTATAAAGACATCAGTCATTTTGGATTAGGGCCCACCTAGTGACCTCATTTTATTTTAATTACCTCTTTAAAGACCCTGTCTCTAAATATAATCACACTAGAGGCCTGGTGCACAAATTTGTGCATGGGTAGGATCCCTTGGCTTGGCTGGCAATTCCTTCTGGGGGAGGAACCATGGGAGGTTGGCCTGCCACGGGAGGTTGGCTATAGGAGTGCACTGACCACCAAGGAGCAGCTCCTGTATTGAGTGTCTGCCCCCTGGTGGTCAGTGCGTGTCACAGCAACCAGTCAACCAATCATTCGGTCATTCAGTTGCTTAGGCTTTTCTATATATACTAGAGGCCCGGTGCACAAAAATTTGTGCACTCGGGGGGGTCCCTCAGCCTGGCCTGTGCCCCCTTGCAGTCTGGGACCCCTTGGGGGTT